CCCTTGACAACAAGTCCAAAGAACATGACTTGTTTCTTCATCCTTGTCACTAAGGAGGAGCATTCTGAATGTCCTTTTTCTAAGACAGAATCCTTTGTTCTTTTGGCAGTCCACAGTACTTTCAATATCCTTAACCAGCACTGTAACCACATGCATCGATTCTTCTTTGCTCTTTAATGGCCTTTCAAATGCATATGAGGTCACTGAAAACGCCCTGGCTTTCAGGTTTTCCTCGGACCTCAAAGTCGCATCCTTGCTTTCCAACACTCTAAAGGGGGGTTGTGCAACAGATTGACCCAATGCCATCTCTCCTTGGATTTCTTGATTGCTGCTTCCATGAACACTGATTGTGGGGCTAAGATAGGTGACATCTTTGACAACTCCCATCTTTTCTCTAGCATGATGTTATATATTGGTCCAGTTGTGCGGGTTTTAGTTTTCTTTATTTTGGAAGCATTTGCAAACCCCGGTCTTCATCAGCAAGTACTTCAGGTGCTCCTTTTCAGCAAGCACGTCCGTGTGGTCTGCCTACCAAATATTGGTAAGCCTGCCTCCTTTCCTGAAGCCACACTCTTCTGCATATAATGCACCGTCTCGGATTATTGGCTCCGTACACCGATTGAATAAATATAGTGAGAGGATACAACCATAACACACGCCTTTCCTGATTGCAAACCATATTCCCTTGTTCATTTCACACAACTGCTTTTTGTTTCATGTACAAATTCCACAAGAGCAAAGTGAAATGCTCTGAGATTCCTGGTCTTCTCAAGGATATACAGTTTGTTATGATCCACACAGTCAAATGCCTTGAAATGGTCAATAAAACACAAGGAAATAGCTCTCTGTTATTCTCTTCTTGAGCCAAGATCCATTTGACATCAGCAAAGACATCTCTTGTTCCATGTCTTCTTCTGAATCCAGCCTGAATCTCTGGCAGCTCTCTGTCAATGTACTGCTACAACCATTGTTGGATGATCTTCAACAAAAGTGTACTTGCGTATGATATTAATGACATTGTGCCGTAAGTGAGCATTCTGTTGTATATTCTAGAAAGGGTTTTTAAAGTTTCTCCTAAGTAATTACTTTTCCTCTTCTCTCCATCATAATGTCCCTGAAAACTCACACTAGCAGTTTAGGTAAGCAACATCCCAGTTTCTTCTTCTGCTCATGGAGTTTGTGGATGGACCCTCAGTGTTCTTGTGAAGGGAGGGGAACAGCATCCGTATTTTTCAACTCTTATGTATGTCTAGCGAGTCAGAGCCACCAAGACTATTACAGAGGGACTTAGACTAACATAAAACTTCTGGTGAACATCTAGGAACCTGGTACTTCTGTGATGAGAAAATATGTACCCCTGCTTTTATTTGAAGCCATCTGCCCTTCTGTTGCCATCCCCTCTGTCCATTTACCTTCTTCCTTGCCCCTATACATGTTATCAAACAGGTCCAAATGGTTCTGAGAATTCCCCTGTCCTGTGTATCACAACAGGAACCATTTATTTGTTTTGAAAAATAGGATTGAGCCTTGTCTATACTCCAGTACTGTGGTGGGCATTAGGTCCCTCTTACCCACCCATTTGAAAGTTTAGCTAAGTTATCCCTTCATGACATGTATCTTACAGTTATCAAATCTACACAATGATTTATTTCTAACACTAAGTTATTATGCATATTTGGTTATTGCTGTTGCGTGCATTAAAGTCTGTTTCAATGCACAGTGGCTCAATGTGACAGAGAACTGTCCCCATAGGACTTTCTTGGCTGTAATTTACAAGGAGCAGAGCACCGCTCTTCTCCTCACACAGCCACCTGGGTGGGTTTGAACCGCCAGCTTGTCAGTTAGAAGCTGGGTGCTTGACCATTGCATTTTTGCATCATTCATACTGTGTTGTGGAATGCTGTTTTGAAGCTCCTTGGGCAATAGAAAAATCTGGCTTAAGGATGTTAGCTGTTTAAAAATATTTAAAATTAGCATATACGTGTGTATTAAGAAAACATTCAGTACAATAGTTGTCTCATTAAAACACTTAATAAATATTGGTGCTTATATTATCAGATAATTATACATTAGTCATTTTACAGCAGCCATGCAGATATAAATGTGGAAATATTTTTTAAAATTTAAATATTAATGTCTACCCTTTCAAATAATGGAATTAAATTTTCATATTTTATTTTATGTCCTCAAAATTTCATCCTCAGTCGAGGAAAGCATACTTTAACATTGCCTTTAATTCATAACAAAAATAGACTATCAGTTGCATCACCTGCCTTGGTTGAGAAGTCCATCCAAGTTAAATTCGAATTAAAAGGTGTTAGCTCTGTCCTCTAAATTAAAAATACAAAAACTGCCATTTTGTTACATCTGAAGTATGCTTGAAAGCATTCATATTATCTGGATAGAATGCCTTCTGACTTCTAACAAAATATTTCCTGCCAATACTTAGTCCTGTTCTTTCTTTTTCTGAAATGAAATTCAGTGATTTCATTTCAGACCCACTTATAACATGTTTACATATTGGAACACTCTCCAAGCACTTCATGTTCCTTTTAGGTCCTAAGAAAGATGAAATGTCCCATGTAGTAGATTGGTGGTAAGGTGTTGTAGTGCTTTGTCAGTGACAACAGTTACAGAATTTACAACCTAACGGCACTTGTTTCATGCCTGGTGTGTGCAGGGAGAATCAGAGAGCTCGTTTGGACTATAAAACAGAATGCGCTTGTTTTACGGAGAAGATGAAATCCACGGGGTAAATGAGAAGAAAATTGTGTGAGCTAAACACAAGAAGACCCAAAGGAAACATTTACACAATAATGTATAAACTTACTGTTCTAGAATATTTAGGAAGGACATGAACATATTACTTAGATTTGATTTAAAATAATTAAACTGGAGCTGAAAGGAAAACCATGTTTTGAATTATGTACAGTACATGGACTGCTCATAAGCACTACTTGCAGACCTGACTTGGCCCATTGTTATAAATTCAGTTGGTGATAGGACCAAATGGAGTGATGTGATGATGATGATGAAGAGTGTAGATTTAAGGGGCTGAAGAACAGAAATCCTTTTTGCTCATCTACGTCACCCCCAGTCCCTGACATGAAGGAACAGCTCAATAAACATCTCCTTGACAGACTAGCAAGGACAGTGTAGACAGAAGATGGGGCTAGAATTTCTATGTTGGGAAAATACACACCCTTTC